TGTGATGGATTCATTGAACAAAAATTTTGTGGTTCAAAAATCATATGATAGTGTTGCAGTGAAATGCAAGAATGTGATCTTAAGCTAAATGACCTTTAAAAAGAAATGGAAGACTGGTAAGCACATTAGACTAAGTGTATAGACATGATTTACAGTTGCAAAATTAAAGAAATACCAGCATAAATACTTAAAACTTCTTGAAGTCAATCACTGGAAGGCAAAAAACATTTATAACTTATCTATTAAGGACTGGAAATGACTGAGGAAACTACTTGATGCTATGATAGAATAATGAAGAACAGGGAGAAGTGGTGCTAAAATTGTCCATGAAATCAACAGTGAAAATCACTAGCCCTCTCTCCCCACATGCAGCTGCTCCAGTAGGAAAGGACATTTGGGAAGCTGCATCCTCTTAGGGAGTGTGAGATTGGTCTTCTTTGGGTGCTCATTGGGTAATTAGTAGGTGCACAGGGAGATGTTTTTCCTGCAGTGTTCCCATGCAAGGAGAGCAGTGCACTGCAGCAGGAAAGGATCCTCCTACCATTTTTATGACTTGTTTGTGCTTTTCTACATCTTCCCCAAGGCTTATGGTATTGTGACTGAATTCCCACAGAGACTGACTACAAAGATGAATGGTAAAGGGACACATTTGTCTCCCAACTTGGGCATTTGTAGACACGTAGCAAACAGATGCCAATTTTCAAAGGTTAACTAGTGAAAGTAATTGATTCAAAACCTGTTTTAAGTTAACTCCTCTCTGTTCCAGTCCTCAAAAAGGTCAACCCCCTACCACAGGGTGATGCAAGAAGCAAATAAATCTGGCTGCAGAACTCCATCCCTGGCTGCCAAAATCCAAACTTTGGGAAGATGCCCCAAATGCTCTGAAAACAGTGAGCTGAAGTCAGAGTCAAAAACCACACCATACAATGATGAAGAAAAGTTGTTGGTTGCAGAAGCTGAAAATGTGCAACAGGCTTAAAATATATATATTTAAAATTACATTTCTTCCCCAGCATATTCAGTTACTTTATTTACAGTCATTTTTATCAGTGGGTTTTACTCACACAGAGCTCAACCTCCTGGAAGAAAGGATCCTCAGATATTTCTAACAGTCTCCTGCAATTTGGGTGAGAGATTGCCAAGATTAACTACACCCCAATGTGTGTAAGTAAAGATAATTTTAGTAGATACATTTTTATTGGCCTCAGCATTCCCAAGGTGATTTGCAGGTTCCAAGATCTGTCTTCAAGGGCTTAATGTTGCTAAGATGGATGAGAAAAACTGAAATGCACCTTGAGAAAAATTAAGGTAATTAAGCATCTGAAAAATGAATTAGCTGGATAACGTGACAGGGAAAGCCAAGGAGAAGCCACTCAACTCCCTCTGTATGTCATGATTGTCAGGGCTCTGCATGGGAATAGATGACTGACAGTTGGTATTATCAAGGAGAGTAGAATTTGTTCTGTTTTAACCTTTTATTTGTTTACCATTTACTGTGTGGGTGAGATTGGGTCTCTTTAGCTTGGAGAAAAGGAGACTGAGGGGTGACCTCATCAATATTTACAAATATGTAAGGGGTGAGTGTCAGGGAGATGGAGTTAGGCTTTTCTCAGTGATGACCAGTGATAGGACAAGGGGTAATGGGTGTAAATTGGAGCATAGGAGGTTCAAGGTGAATATCTGAAAAAATTTTTTACTGTAAGAGTGACAGAGCACTGGGCCAGGCTGCCCAGGGAGGTTGTGGAGTCTCCCTCACTGGAGACATTCAAAACCCACCTGGATGCGTTCCTGTGTGATGTACTCTAGGTGACCCTGCTCTGGCAGGGGGGTTGGACTAGATGATCTCTCGAGGTCCCTTCCAGCCCCTAAGATTCTATGATTCTATGATTGTGCAGCTGAATTTCTTCCTAATTGAAAGGGATTTCATTTTTTCCCCTCTATAGCAGGGCTGCTCAAAGTTTAGCAAAGTCCTTTTATAACTAGCAGTTAAAATAGATCTGTAATTATAAAAGGATCTTATCCATCCTCAAGACTGATTTCCTGTCATTTCTGCAGAGTTGCTTGTTCTCCTACAACATTAAAAAGAGATTAAAAGCACAGAATGTAGAAAAAAAAAAAAAAGTACCTGTTCTAAAGGCATGGGAAAGGTAGATAAATAGAAAACACTGGCATCCAGATTTATTGGCTTGTGGTTTGGATCTATCTAAAGGTTAAATAGCAGTGCTATGTGTTTCAAATAATTTTAACTCCTGAGTGCATAACTAGCAGCAAAGAGTTCAGTATTATAACACTCAGGGCAGGCTTCAGCATCTTCTCTCAGCACAAGATATTCATATATTTGCAGTTCCTACTAAAATCCCTTTGAGCTTGAGTGCTTTCCAGTGTAAAGGTGGTGGGCAGGCCAAAAATAATTGCACAGACAAGTACACTTGGCAGCTATTAGACCATTTATTTAGTAATGCCTGGGCTAAAATGGAGTAAGATCACCTGCATTAGTCATGGTTCTGCTGTGCCCAAGTACATGTAAGCACTAGTCATTGCCAGTGTAAAGCACCAAGGCCACTGGCTTCAGCATCTGGTGTCACTGAGGTCTTTGCAATCAGAGTCCATCTAAGTGTAGGTAATAGACATCAAATTTCCATCAAATCCACTTCTTGCTAACAAATAAGAAATAACATCATCAAGATAATCTCATACCTGAGAAGAGAGCATAGGGACCTCTAGGTCTGAAACATAAATCTGAAGGGAAACTGAAATATTATTTCAAGGTGAAACAAACTACTAAGATAGACTAAGATAGTGGTTTGTAGCTTCAACGATCAGAGCAATTTCATTTTGACTGGTCACTTCTTTGTAGATCCCCAACAAGACCACAACGTAGCCTTCATGGAACTCCACAGAGAAGCCACCCAAGACATTCCATCAGTTCATAAAAGAAAAAAATTGTACATGACTCTGCTCTGCTGTGCTGATAAAATCTACATGTGCTGATGAACAAACCACATTAAACTGCTAACAAATTGTCTGCTGTCATTACTCAGCATTCCAAGATTGTTTCACACCTGCACAAAGACATCACTAACCCTTTCCTGACTGTCAAAAAAAACCCCAAACCCTTCTTGACAACTTTGCTATTACATTTGCTGTACAAAAAATATATGGCACATAGCACGTTGTAAGGGTGGTGAATAGAGTGCAATAAGTAAAATAGAATTCCAAATGTCAATGTAATGATTGGATGATTTGTTTACCTATATTACTTATGTTAAATGAAGCTAACTGGGAGCTGGAGTTCCATGATTTGTAATAGAAAATTGTGTATGCACTCTCCTATTTTCTTGGAGCCCTTGCTGCTATTTAATGGTATATGCAGAAAGAGCATGGGCTGGAATCGAGAAATTTAAGAATATAACTATTTATTATGTGAGGATTCGTGCTCACATTATTCACTCTGCAATCTTTTGCCTTTTCTCTCTTCACAAGATTTGTTGACAAGGAAAAAAAACATATCACACAGGTGGCACGTGGTGTTTTTACAGTAACTTTTCTACTTGCATTTTATTTTTTTCTGTTTTGAATGGTACTTTGGTGAGTCTCTCCTCCAAGAATAACATCAAATAGGTGAAAACCATAACAGCAATTAAAATGTTTGAAACAGAATTATATTTGGAAGTGCATGTTGCAGTCCTTCTACCAAGCATAATAAGAATTGTTTATATAGCCACAAACTTTTGGCTGGCTAAAATCATACATCTGGCCCTTCCCTTGGTGGAATTAAGGTCATAACCTTGAAGCTAATGGAGCAAAGTTGATTTTCACCAAGTGATAATCTGACCAGTGTTTATGTAGCTCATTCTTTCCTAGATCCAATCTGTACCTTTCCTGAACCTCCATTCTATCCTGCTGTACAACTTTGTTACTTAAAAGCCAGTCATGAAGCACAATTCCTGCTCTCCTAGAGAAGTAAGGCCAGCAAAGCAGCAACAACTGCACTGGGAAGATGAGAAGACCACACAGAGGACTCCAGAAGCCCTTGCACATCAGGGAAGACAGTGCCCAAGAGGTGCATGAGCATAAAAAGCACTTAAAGGCAGGGGGAGGAAAAAAAAATAATCAAGAAAATAGGTTATATCTGTGGATTTGTGAACTATGTACACACCAGTGACTGAGCCTTTCCTCTCATACATCATACAACTCCTATCCACAAGAAAAGCTTTGTTTCAAGTCCTCCAGGAAGGGGTGTCAAGCCACAGTGGTCCTTTTCCCATACCTTTTTCCTCAGGTTTAGTTCAGGGAGTGAAAAAGCAGCCTTAAAAAGCCAGAGGAGAAAACAACTCATGGCCTTAAACTCTGGAACCACAAGACATCCTTACAGATAAACAATCCAACCAGGAAAGCTGAGGTGGCTTATTTGCTTCAGGATTTTCTCTCATGTATTATGGTACTTGTCAAAAGGTGAACTTCCAGGGAAAGGGAGATTAAAATTTTGACACAGATCTAAAAGATATTCAGCAGAAGTTGTCCCTGCTCAGCTCTCCTCCTATGTGGGAATGAAGTGTAGAGAATATAAAAACTTTTTAATTGCAAAAATATATCCATTTTATCCTTTAAAAACATCTTTCAGTTTTTTGTTCAAAATTACACCTCTCCTTTATATCTTTTTTTCCCTCTTTCTATTTTTAAAGAACACAGATCTACAGAGGATTAAATAACAAAAAAAAGCCCCCCCCCCCAATAATAATAAATCATTCCAGCTTAACTCAAAGCATCTTTCCTACATTCTTCCTGCCTCTCCCCCCCCAAAACGGGGGCTTATTTTGGTTCAACCTGAATTTCCTCTCCGATTTGTCACCAAAGTGAACCCTCCCCACACTGCTTGGTCCAGCTCCACTAACAGAAAGGCCTCGTGCAGAGAAATATGCAGGAAGAGAAGGGTTATGGAACTGTCACTACGACTACGGCCGGGCTGATGGAAACAGAGCTGGCAGGTGGCACAGATCCTATCGCTGCTGCCGCCACTGCCGAGCCCGCTGCCTCAGCCGCCGCACGGACATGCTGATGGGCTGCTTCCCAAACTTCTTCATGATCTCCTTGATCCTGGCCAGGTTGGTTTTGGAGATGGTGAAGTCGCACTGGGTGGCTCCCATGTCGTAGCCCACCTCGCAGGTCTTGGTGGCGGAGGTGTAGCCCTCCGCCCTGGCGCCCACCACGTACTCCCCCGGGTTGAGGAGGCGCCAGTAGTCACCATCAGCTCCTGGGAAGAGAAGAGATGGCTTTCAGGACCTTGTTCCTTGAGGAAGGTGTCTGGGTAGGGTCTTTTTACAGGGGCTCGCAGTGAGAGGACAAGGGTAACGATTTTAAGCTGAAAGAAGAGAGATTTAGGTTGGAGATCAGGCGTAAATTCTTCAGCGTGAGGGTGGTGAGACACTGGAACAGGTCCCAGAGATGTTGTAGGGGATCCATCCCTGAAGGTGTTCAAGGGCAGGTTGGATGGGGCTCTGAGCAGCCTATTCTAGTGGAAGGTGTCCCTGCCCATGCAGGAGAGTTGGAACTCAATGATCTTTAAGGCCTCTTCCAACTCAAAACATTCCGTGATTCTGTGATGCTCATGGGAATGTAGAGATGCTGCCCCGTGGGTTAGATGGGAGCACAGGCTCTGAGGGTGTCCATGAGGCCACCCCCACCAACCACACACACCCCTCCTCATCCTGCCAACCTTACAGGAAAACACATCTCAAATCTGTTTTCCAAATGATGAACAACAGGCTTCAATTTGGCCTACGATTCCTGTCAGTTGAAGTGAAAAAGATCTGGAGGCAAAGGGCCACCTTGTAGCTCTTGATGATTCCTGAGGGGCATGAAACACCTTCCCCAAACTAATTCTAACTAACCAATGAAAAGAAGGTCCAGTGGGTACCCACACTGCACTCATCATCCTGGCCAGACCACCTGGACATGTGTTTTTGTGGTATTCAGGATGCAAAATGTGTGAAAGCAGAAGGTCAACTCACTTGGAGATCTAAGCAACTCTCCTCTTCCATAATACCTTACAGTGAGTTTTATTATACTAATTTTCATACAAGCTATGATTCATCAGGGTACTTAACCACCTGCTTACCTGCAAATGTATAAATAGAGCTCCCATAGTCACAGAAACTACTGATGTCTAAAGCAAGATGTGTTTTTACACCTTGTTTAACCAGGACTTTCTGTTTTCTTCTTTTTTTTTTTTCTCCATAAATAACCTTAGATTACCCATATATGCTTTAAAATATTATTTTAACTGGCACATCAGCTTAGCTGTGGAATGCAAAGGGTGAAACACTAGTATTTAAAATTATTTTTGCACTGTCTCCTGGGAAAACCCACTGTGGAATGAAAGTGCATATTCCAATATACAATTCTGTTTATATATAAATAGAAATGCATCACCTCTTGTATGAGGAGGGGTTGGTGTTTTTTAGCACTGATGAGAACTGACAGCCTCCCTAGCACTAGCCTTGGGTCACTTGCAATGCAGTGTATTGCAAAAACTGAAGATAATATGCAGGAAAGTATTATGTTTGGGAAAAGATCAGGCTAGCCAGCCTCTGTTTAAAGAAACAGGATTTGAATTTAGGGGTTGGTAAAACAAAAAAGTGCACGTTTGCAAACAGCAAGTGTCAGCAAAACAGTGACGTCAACTATACCTCATGTTGCAGTCTGTGCAGGTGAGTGTGAAATTTAACCCCTGCACCTCAAAAACTGACCTACATTTTTTGGACATATTTGACAGGCAGCTCATCACCACCCCACACAGGGCCAGAAAAAAAAAATTATCTACACATTCACACACCACTGGGAGATTATGACAAAGCTGGATATTAAACTGTTAGCAGGATGCACTTTACCTCCCTTTCCATTTGCAAAGAAGCAGACATTAGTATTTCTGTCAGCTGTCATTGCTTGGAATTCAATAGCAGACTGAAAAGGATTTTTAAAAAAAAAAAAAATCAGATTAAATGCATTAGGTAAAATATTTCAGAGCAGATAGCAAGAGAAACACAATTAAAAATACAGATACATCTAGTAAATAATAGGTTTGCTAAAAGAATAATCTCCAGTGGGAGCAGGCTGGGGGCAGACTGCATCTATCTCCTCCTATTGTGTCTGGGAAAGAATTGTCATGTCTGCCTAGATAAAATAACAATGCATAAAAGTACAAAGGTATTATTATTATGAATGTGTCAGGTGACTCCATAAAACCTCGAGGAACACTCTTGGAGCCTGACAGGAGAGTTCTTTGTTATAATTTTACAATTAATTGTCATATTTACACTTCCATGTACCAAAGTTTGCTTATTCAATTACATTCAAAAAAACTACCCTACTGGTCTGTGACCTGCAAAAGACTCTCCAGGAAAGAAAGCCATGATGCTGCACACCCAGTGGGTGCTGCACACCCAATGCATGTAACAACTGAAACTTATTTTTTCTCTTCTGAGCAGGCAGCCAAGAATGAGGCTGAAGAGCTATAACACCAGAATTATGTTATCTGAGACTAATGTTATTAAATGTTACTAAATGCGACTTCAAACTCTTTGGTTATGTAACATATGCTGAAATCATAGAAAACTCACCAAAATATTAATAAGGATTTATCTGAACATACTCTGAAATTAAATTAATTCTGCTTCGTTGCAAAAGTCACACAGAAATGTGCATCAGAAATTCTTCCCTGTGAGGGTGGTGAGACCCTGGCCCAGGTTGCCCAGGGAAGCTGTGGCTGCCCCATCCCTGGCAGTGTTGAAGGGCAGCTTGGATGAGGCTTGGAGCAGCCTGGGCTGGTGGGAGGTGTCCCTGCCCATGCACCCATGCAGGGGGTTGGAACTGGATGGTTTTTAAGGTCATTTCCAAACCAAACCAGTCTGTGATTCTATGATCTTTCTTTGGCTCTGGTACGGGCTGTGATACAGAAGGGTTTCACTAGAAGGAAATGGTACATTTCTGCATTCAGATTTGCTTTGAGGTGTCCAAAATGTGCAATTACAGGAAGCAACCCACAAAACTGCCTCTGCACCATGGGGAAAAAGAGGCGTGCAGGTCATCCAGTTGATGAACTCTATTCCTAAAGTCATCTCGTAGAGCTTGGTCCACGTCTAACCATAACATGGAATCACTCAAAACTTAATCAATAGTGACATCTGCATCAAGAGCACATGGAATAATTTTCTACAAAGCTCTTACAGAATCAATGACTTCAATTAGCCTGTTAATATTGTTGCCTTAGTGTCAGCCACCCTCTCATCCTGCAAGATATGTTGTACATCCATGTGAAAAAAAAAGTGCCCTTTCCATGCACTTCTTTTTGTCCACAGGAAGAAGCAGAGAAATTTCCCCAAACAAGTAACAGTTATTAGAAAGCATCTCCAGACAACTTTTTTCTGCCTCTTCAGGGTAGTCAACCACGTTAATATATCAAATAATTAACAGATACCTTACAGCCTAGCTCACTTTAAACAAGTTATATGAACTGAGAGAGTGGTCATAATTCTTCTCCTGCTTGGCCTATTTTTATATCAAAGCAACTCAGAGGCTTAAAGGGATACATTTTTCATTCAAAAAGGAATAATGAAAGAGGAATGCTGACAATTTGCCTTCTTTCTCTGGAGTTAGAAGTGTCATTTAAGCTTTTTGGCTTCAACATCAATTCTCTAGTTTCAAAGACTAATGAGACATACATTGTTATCTATACAACATAAAACAAGATAGAACTTTTATGTTCCCAGCTACAGGGTTATTCACAGTGTCAGCTTAAAGATGCCTCATTAAAAAGAAGAATTGAAAAGAATTAAGTAAGCACTTTTATTTTTACTAACAATTACAGATGGCCTTGAACCATATGAGCTCAGCTCTAAGTCTGGATGTAAATAGCTGTGAGATACCCTGAGCATTACAAGGTGGATTCTGGGATCTTGAACAGTTCACAATCCACATCCACTGGGACTCTTTTCCACATACACGTTTGCTCTCTTTATTAATGTTTCTTATATGTGCCAATCCAGCTTACTGGGAGCTGAAGATTAATCACCTGTTGCATTTACTTGGCCATTCCCACTATCATTTCCCAGTGGTCCCATTTTGAAATATTTAAGGCAGAATTATTATTGCCTAATTAAATATCTGTCATTTCAAGGTTTTCTTTTACAACAGAGACACAGTAGCACTGAAATAGAACTAATGTAAACTGAGTTATTCCAAGATATATTATTGGCTCAAATAATCTACTGTAGGAAGGATTAAAGATTTGAAAGTCTCTTATCTAAAGCTCTGTGATATTCTACAGGCTGAAATCTGTTTACATGTCAAAGTACCTCAATGGCAAAGAAGTGAAAGCAACAACTAATGAAAGACTCAGGATGCCAGTCAAGATGCAAAAAAAAATCATTACATTAGTGATCCTGTTTCACATATTGAACCAAACCTAGAGTACACAACAACATAGTTTGATTATTCATCATGATGCTACTTTTCCTTAAACATCCAACAGAAACCTCGTTAGTCTCCTGCAACCAGCACTTTGAGCACAATCACTAATGACACCTGCTGACATCTTGTTTCGCTACTTCTTTCTGCATAGAATCTGAATTGTTTCGGTTGGAAAAGACTTTTAAGATCTTCAAGTCCAACTGTTAACCAGCCCCACCACTAAACCATGTCCCTGAGCACCACATCTACATGGCTTTTAAAAACCTCCAGGAATGGTGACTTGACCACGGCCTTGGGCAGGCTGTGCCAGGACCTGACAATCCTTTTGGTGAAGAAATTGTTCTTAATATCCAATCTAAACTTCTGCTGGCACAACTTGAGGCAATTTCCTTTTCTTCTGTCTGTGTATCCCTTTTGTTGTTTCTCCCCTTGAGACAATTGTGTGTCTTAAATCACACTACAGCACCTCCACAAAGACAATGGCCATTGGACACCATCCTGGCCACTACCTGCCAACAACAATTTTCAGGTATTACTATTAATCTTGTAAGTGTAAGTGTCTGTTATAAGCAGTTATTTATTTAGTGCCAAAACTATTTTCCAGGCCATTTCCAGGCTTAGCATTTACTCTGAATATACATATCAGTGTCTGGGTGTAGATCAAGACTGTGCTAACATAACAAATAGCCATTTGTGTTTTTTTTTCTCAACTATACATATTGAAAAGTACTTATTTGGGCTGAAATTTACCCCCACAAAGCAGTGTCTCTACTGAGCCTCATTAAACATTCTTTTATAAATCTGTGATGTTTCACAGGAGGCTCTTCAGGTTGGAAAAGTCTCCTGTTCTCTGAACACAGCTGTAAATCACATCCCAAACACATTCACAGTCCTATGACTGTCACCAGCCAGAGAAAATCTCTTTGCCCAACAAGGCACTTCCTACACTATAATAATTCTGGGTTAGATTTGCAGTACCTTATAGGAGACAAGGAACAACAACTGTTTTTCAGATACAGCTGGACTCAGGCTATTGATTTTGGGCAGACAAAAAGGCTATTTGCTCACTGCTTTAAAAGAGGTGGAAAGAGGAAGAGAGGAAAACCATAGTTCTGTTCTTGTCTGGGCAGTTGCACCACAGGAAGAAGTGACTCCTCATGGATCATTCCTCCAACACTCCTTGGGCTCTGTACTATCTGCTGGCTTTTCTCAGATAACAATGAGGCTCTGTATTTTGATTTGGTTTGGGTTTTTTTTAAAAAAACAACAACAATAAACCTGTTCATTTGCAGTGATGTTTTTGGGTTTATACCTGTGCGGATGTCATGGTTGACACCTTCCACTGAGATAATAGCATTTGGGATCCCCTTCCCATGCACATCTTTCACTAGGCCTTTGATGCCCCGATGGACCTATTGGAAGAAGAAATAAAAACAAAGAAACATTGCACAGCAATGAACAGTACTATCATTAGGAAGATACAACAAACAGTGAATTCCCTGTGGGGATTACATGTACTCTATTCCTATTTCATGGCTCACACATTCTTGAAATACCATTATTAACCTAGTACCAGCCTCTCAGGCATTAGCTACTTCTGAACCAGCTTACCAGTTTAGGATTCCTGAGGCATTCAATGCAAGAGACAGATAAAACCAACAGATAAAGCAGTAGACACAAGGTGTTTTGTTTGTTTTTTTCTTTCTGGCAGTCATTTCTAGCCAGCTCTGAACTCACATCACATTTAACAAGCTTCATTACTTCTTCCTAAGTTAAAACAGCCTGGCTGAAGTGCTATGTCAGGAAGGCTTCTATCATAAATACCAATAATCATGTAGTAAGTCATGCAAGAAAAGATCAGAAACCTTAGACCTCCTTTCATTAAGAAAGGAATAGTTCTAGGATTTGGAAGTCACTCTTCACTCCAATACCTGTTCCATAAAAACAATGAGCGACTCGCGGTTGTTTTCCCACTCCTCGGGCAGCTCAGTCTCATGGGGATACTTGTCACAGCCAACGTAGATGGAGAGCTCAAAGCAGTTTGTGTGCAGATAACTGAAGTCATTTATGCCTGTCAGCAGAAGGTAAAAAACCAATTTTATATCCTCTTTTAATCTATTGATCGGATTTGGTTCTTTTATGCAATGTAATAGGACTTGTTTTTCTCTAACTGCCATAGGCTGCAGACCTGGCAGGGCACAGGTTTTTAAGAAATGCCAGGTCTCCTGTAACAAAGCACCAGAGTTACATCAGAGTCATATGTTTAATAGAACAAGACCTTGCAGAGACAGAGTCCCATCAACATGTTTGAAACAAAGGATGCAAGATCCCACCGTGACAGGACAGGCCACTGTGTCAGCCCAGCACCACATCTCCAATCCCTTTGCAGGAAGAGCAGCCTCCTTCTGCCACCACAAAACTTCACAGAAATAGAGATTTAGCACAAAAACCAAACAATTTAATCACATTCCAGATAAATCTTCCCTGGTGTTGGTGGAGGAAATGGAGGCACACCAGGAAGATGTTAGGAAAGGTCTCTCTTTACAGCAAAAAAAAATGGTGCTTTGCTTTTGAGAAAGCTTCATTAATCCTGGACACTCCCCTGGGTAGAAATTTTACATTACAGAGTATTCTGTGACCTTGGCAAAGGTCCTGAACACTAGGGAAGGCTGTATTGAGATACAGATCTCAAAATTTTCTATTCTCCAAGTTTCTCTCCCATGTCTCACTACTATTCATTTGAGAAATTCCATTTATTAGTTCTCCACAATGACACAAATAACATGACACATTACAAGAACACTAGAGGAAGACATGATGTGAGCTTCCTTCCTTATTCCACCTGCATTCCTAGTAAAATTATTTTTTAAAAACTGACTAATGGAAAGTAATTGTT